CACAGGTGCTGGCCCCAGCCTTTTCTACCCCATTAAGGTCAATTTGTAATGGGCTGGATCACACATGCAGGGGTGTGCCCAGGGACAAATAGCAGCTACACAAATATGTGTGACTCCTATTTGTCCTGTGGAAAACATGTGCCCCTGCATGTGTATGCTCGTTGGGATGTTCCCACAAAGAGTGAGTCATGCCTGACCAATCTGATTTTCTTTTATGATAAAGTGATAGGTTCTGTGGATGGAGCAAGAACAATAGATGTGGCATACTGTGACAGGAGTATCTCACGGGGAGCCTTTCTATTGGTGGCTCCGCTTTCCTGTCTTGGGCTAACCGCCTGCTTACTCTCCTGCCATGCCTTGATCTTAATTGATTGAGTGATATAATTAGTGGGAGGCTGCCCACTTTATATGCCCGGTGTCAGGGGCACTATCTGCGGCTCCTTTTCCTGCCCTACACCGCAGCCCAAGCCTCGCAGATGGTACCTGACAGGGTTTTGCCCTACGCCTTTGGCCCTTCTTCTTTCCTTCTGGGGCTCCTCACTTGCCCCTCTCGGCTCCGGGGCTCCTCACTGCCCCCTCTCGCTCTGGGACTGGGGTCAACTGCACCCCGAATGCTGTGCCCTCTATGGCGCCAGGGTCCCCACGCTACTGTGGGGCTCCTATGAGGCCTCCACCAACCCCTACAGCCTCACCCGGTCCTCTGGTCTTATAAAACTACAAACAGAAAACTCAAGCCCCTGGGCTACAACATAAACTCTAAACCGTCCGGTCAAAACCACATTCTATCCCTACCGGGAATACTCCAAGTCATAGTGGCAACCAGGGGATGCTTCTGCAGTCTATCTCCTCACTGCCTGTGCTCCCCCCTCCTTAGCCACCAGAGGGGAACTGCCCTCCTAGCCTCATGCTTGGGCTTAAGAAGAGGCCAAGCCTTGCCCCTTCCTGTCAGCTGATCTCCTTGGTTCTCCTAGCAACCAGCACCTGTGCTGCCCTGGTGACTGGCAGTTGAGCCTCCCCCTTCTCACCACTAGGGGTCTCTCCTGAGCCATTTCTGCTTTTAGACGCAGGGCACCCAAGTGCTCTGCGACACATACCTTGACTTTAGCAAGGCTTTTGACATTCTCTCCCATGACTTTGTCATTTGTAAGCAAAGGAAATGCAGATTAGACAATAGTACTGTAAGGTGTATGTATAACTGGTTGGATCATCATACTCGAGGAGTAGTCCCCATAGCCCAGTGTCTAGTTAGGAGGATGTAGAAAGTGGGGTTCATCAGGTGTCTCCTCAGGTGTTCAGTATGGTTCTACATCTTTTTGATTAATGATTTGGATGATGGGATTAAGTGCACATTTAGCAAATTTGTGGATGACACCAAGTTGGGTAGAATTATGCATTCTCTGGAGGCTAGGGCTAGGATCCAGAATGACTTGGATAGACTGGAGAAGTGGCTGTAATCAATGACATGAGCTTCAACAAGGACAAGTGTAAAGTCCTGTACTTGGGATGGAATAACTGCATGCGCAAACAGATTGGGGAATAAGTGGCTCAGTTGCAGTGTTGCAGAGAAGGATGTGGAGGCCACAGTGGACCTTAAGCTGAATATGAACCAATTTTGTGCTCTTGTTGCAAAAAATGCCAACAGCATCCTAGGTTGTATTGTTTGTCACTTGCAAATCAAAGTAAGTCATTCTTCTGCTGTATTCAGCACTGTTGAGGCCTCACCTGGAGTACTGTGTCTGGTTTCAGGGCCCACACATCAAGAAGGATGTGAAGAGTTTGGAAAGAGTTCCGCACAGGGCAACAAAAATGATCAAGGGCCCGGGAGACTAGACTTATGAGGAAAGACTGAAAGAACTAGGCTTATTTAGCCTGGGAAAGAGAAGACTGAGGGAGGATATGATAACAGTTTTCAAATTCATGAAGGGTGATTATAGAGAGAATAGAGATTGTCTTTTCTCTATAGCTGTGGGGGACAGGACTAGGAGCAATGGCCTCAAGTTGCAGCAGGGGAAATTTAGGCTGCAGACTAGGAGGAGCTCTTTGACTATGAGAGTGGTCAGACATTGGAACAGAGAAATTGTGGAATCTTTATTCTTGGGAGTTTTTAAGGGCAGGTGGGATGGTTTAGCCAGGTTTGATCCTGTCTTGTGCAGGGGACTGGACTAGATGACCTTATGATATCCATAACATCCTTATTTTTCTATGATCCTAAGATTCCTCTATTACTTTAGAGAACCGTGTGTTCCTGGAAAGTGATCTTTGTATAGATCTCTTACACCTTGGGCCAGAAATAAGTGCAAAAGTAGACCCCAGAGGGCTTCCATAGGCAAGTCCATGGGATCTGTTTCCAGTCAAGGGATGAAACACCTATCTGGGTGCCAGTATTGGCTTATTATGGAGACCCATCTCTTTCATTCTGGAGAAATTTGCCTGAATCCTGGTGGAAGGTCCCCTATTCAGATCTTCTCACTGAAACCTGTCCTGCAGTCCTCTTACCCATCTAAATCTGAGACTTTACAGCCCCATAAGGATAACATTGAAACTTGCAGAGACTCTGGTACTATCTCTAGCTCTGTTTGTAGCCCTTTGGAAACTAACAAAAAGGTCAGGGAATTAAGTAATCCAAATCTCCTGTGGAGCAGCATTGTGGTTCTGACTTCCATTCTAGTTTTGAAATGCCTGGTCTGAATGGGGTTGTGAAAGGACTTTCTGCACCAAATTCCATTTCCTGGCACTGCCAAATTCTTTGCAGTCTGCCATGTCTGTCTTAATATGGAGCACTACATTTTCTGTTCACCAGTTATATGGTCCCACCTCTAATTTGATAAATGCACATAAAATCTTTGCTGTGAAGCTTTCAGTATTTTGTGACAATTCTTTCAGCATTCTAGGGTGGAGATTACCCAGCCTTCCTGATCTGAGCTCATTATATTCTTAGAGTATTGTTTTAGTAACTTCCATTTCTATATGCTTAGTCTTAGCCATCCTGTCCCATATTCTACATTCTACATCACTGTCCTACTGAAAACTCTGGCAAAATATTATTTTAGTTTTTGGGGCCATAGCCAGGTTATATTATCCAAATGTGTGAAGTCTGAGATTTTTCTTCAGCCTCTAGAGCGGGTAGGGCTAGGGTCAGGTGAGGCTTGACACAGAATCCAGAGCTATTCAGAAGGGTGCTGTTGAGCATGGTTGTCAGTGGCAGTGCGGCAAGTAAAGGCTGTGCTGACACGGTTCTTCTTGACTTGCCACCTGCCCCACTACATCTGTTACTGGCCCTACCAGATCCTCCATCCTGTGAGGAGCACTGTGGTCCAGATCTGGCCTGGGAGACAGTCAGTTTAATATTCCTGCTTTAGGTAAATATTAGGGCTGTATGAAATTTCAGCAGCTGTTTTGTTTTGGAGGTGTTTTGGGCTGTTTTGGTGCCCAAAACACTGAATCTGAATCAAAACAGAAGGCTCAGAAACATGTCTGAAACAAAACCAGGCACCAAAAACGTTTTCGAAAATTTCAGAGTTTCAGAGCCGTGTTTGCAGGGAAACAGCTGTATGCTGCTGCCCTGCCATGCAATTCTGTTCTGCAGGGAGCAGAGATACGTGCCGGGGGTCTCCTTGCTGCCGCTGCCTCCCTGTGCTGCCCCAGTGACATGGGGCAGCACGGGGTGGGCAGCGGTGACAAGGTGACCCTGGCACAGATCCCTGCTCCCTGCGGAGTCAGGTTGCATGGCAGGACAGCGCTGGTCCGTGCCACGCGACTTGGCTCCACAGGGAGCAGAGATTCAGGGCTGCGCAGGATGGGCAGCGGCGGGGAGGAGACCCCAGCATGGATCTCTGTTGGTCCCTGTCATGTGACCTGGCTCTGCAGGGAGCAGAGATCTGAACTAGGGTCTCCTCACTGCCACTGCCCACTCCGTGCAGCCCATGTTGCCAGGGCAGTGAGGGGTGGGCAGCGAGGAGACCCCCAGCGCTGATCTTTGCTCCCTGTGGAGCTTAGTCACACAGCAGGGACCATCAGGCTCGCTCTCCACTCTGCGCTGCTTCCCTGCCCAGTGACTTGGCATGACAGGGATCAGAGATCTGTGCAGGGGTCCCCTCACCTGCACAGAGGGTAGCAGCCCTCTTCCCCTGCTTTCCCCCCAGATGAGCCACCCATGGCCCCATCCTGCTCCTCGCTGGGGCCTTGCAGCACCCAGCCTCAAGCCCTGCCCAGCTGGGTAGGGCTCTGTGAAGCTTCCCTTGCAGCCCTTTCGAAACAGATTCGGAGGAGATTCAGCAGGGCCAAATGTCCGAAACATATTCAGCTGAAACAAAACAGGACTGATCCGAAACACCAAAACGAATCACTTAAATTGGGCAAATTAAAATTTAGAACTTTAGAATGAAAAATGGACAATTATCCTTTGGCAGCTGCCCTGTTTCCATTGTTATGTGATGTATCAGAGTTTCTCAGCAGGCAAAATCTTTTACAAATTCATTAGTTGATTTACAAATTGCATTCAATGCAAGGGTGTAAGCAGAAAAAAAATAAATAAATGTTTCTTCCTTTCAGAATGACATCCTGATTCCATTAAGGTCAACGGGCATTTTGCTGTTGACTTAATTGGATCCATGATTAGCTCATAGCTAAATATGGGAATGCATATAAAAATTATTATAGTTTTCTAGCCACTTTCCTAAGATAATCTTATTTCAGCAGCATTTCCTGTCTGCTGTGATGCAGTGGCTGTCATTTTGTATCTGGATGGTAATGATGGTCTAGTTAGAAAACAATAGGATGGTAAGTTGGAGATTGTTTAAAAATAGTATGAATCAACTTGTGTAAAACACTGTTCAGAGAAACCTGTAAACACAGGCAGGATTGTCCAGGATATGCTCCACTTTTTAGTTTTAGTGAGAAACTTAGTTTCTATAAGTGTTGGATGTACATGTACTTTCAACAAAATACACCTGAACGCACTTATGCTTATTCTAAATGCCTCTATTTCCCTCTCTTTTCAGCTTTCTAAGAAGTATGGAGTCCACATTTGTGGAGAAGGTGGCGAATATGAAACATTCACTCTGGACTGCCCTCTATTTAAGAAGAAAATCGTTGTGTAAGAAACCATTTCTTCTCTTTCCTTAAATTTAAATGATGGGAACACATTAACATTTGGCTTGAGGCAACTTTTGTTGGCAGAGGTAGAACATGTCCTCTAAGTTCACAAACACTCACTTTGTTTAACACTGGCAACGTCCTCTGAAAACCTAAATCAATATCTGACAAGATGAGGCCTTCATAGGAGGCTGTAAACTTTTTAGACATTTGCACTTTCGTTTACTTGCTGATTATGGCCTGCAGTAAAACTGGTACCTACACACTGACATTTTTATCCTTTCATGAAGTGCGAATTGCCTGTAATATTTATCTTTCATTACAGCTACATTTGATAAACTGCCACATCAGTAGCCTGTGGGTTCCATTAACTCTGTCCTTTTTTTTAACTTTAGCAACTTAGAATGACAATGCTAAACATTTTCCTTCAATTACTAAGGGGATGTTCTTGAATGTAAACTTTGCTTGAATCCATCTAATCTACACTGAGTAACATTTCTTTGCCATAAATTGTTAAAATCTGTGTAGAAGGATATGGGAAATTCCTCCATTTTGATGCAAGTTTCTCGGCACAGTGTTAAATAGCTTTGCCAGAGTGTTTCCAAGTGAAACGTTTTGACTGCTGTTCCTGTTTTTAGTCAAGTAAGCAGACCTTAGTAAAGGTGTATGAGTTTCCTTCCCATATCATTTCATTGGTCTTCTTGAGGAAGGTCAAATTATAGATTAATTGGATGTTCTTGGGGTTTTGTTGCTACAGTCTCATTATTTTATATCAGAATTATCTGTCTGTTTTAAGGAGGAAAAGGGCTTAGAGCTGGCCAACCGTGTTCTGCAGTTTCTTCAAGGAAATTGGAGTTTAAAGGAGCAGCAGCTGTGAAATAGGGATAAATGTTAAGGAGTTACCTCCTGACTAAAATAAGATCCAACCATTAATTGCATCTGGGGAGAGAAGAGGGGTTCTGCAAAATGGATCTGGATTCTAAATACGAGTAGGTGGTGGAGCCCTCATAAGAATAGGTTGTGATATATTATGAGTTTTATTGTAATATTTCTGTTGTGTGCCTCAGTTTATCCATAAAGCTAGTAAATGCGGAGACTGTGAAGAAAGAGATATGCCTATTTGTGGGAGGCGATGAGATGGACTTCTAGCATCAACTGAGTCTTGAATAGCTTTGTTGATATATCAACAAAGGTGATATGGCCAGCACCCTTGAGACTGGAGGGAAGTTGAATGAGGTGAGCATAGCATTGGAGAAATGAGTGTGGGCAAGAAGGTTTCATCTCCTGTTTGGGACAGTCTGAGGAGAAAGTCTGGAGATAAGAGGCCAGCAAAGAAGCTTGGGGGCTCAACAGTTGGAAAAGACCAGGAAGAACACAGTAGAGCAAATTTGAGGATGCCCTGGGCTATGTGGGTTGGACTGGGGACAGGAACTGATTAATCCTTTGAAGGACAGGGCAGAGAACCCCTGGATAGGTGGTCATTGCCTCAGTAAAGGTACTGAAGCAGAGCTTGGGACTTCAGGGCATTTGTCTCTTGCTGCAGAAAAGAGGATATAGACCAATGACTTGAAGATGCAGCAAAGTAGGTTTGGATAGGGTATCAGGAAAAGCTTATTCACTGTTAGAGCACTAGGGCAGTAGAATAGGCTGTTGTATAATTTCCATCACTGGAGGTGTTCAAGAAGAGGTTGAGCTATGGTCAGGGATGATCTAGGTGTATGTCTATATTCTGCTATGGGTATTTCCTATGCTTCTGGCCTTTGCTGGTTGTTGCATGGGCCAAGAGGGAATGTTTCCCTTCCTGCTGTTACATTTTAATCAGAGACATTGGCCAAAGCTGGGTATTTTGACTAGGCTGTGCCAATGCTGGTTAGAGGGTCTTGCCTGTCTGCTGAGGGTCAGACTGATTGCCATTTTTGGGGTCAGGAAGGAATTTTACCTTGTCATATTGGTATGGACTTTGAGGGTTTTTGCCTTCCTCTGTAGCAGGGGCTATAGCCCTCTTCCTGGGATCTCGTGAATGTATTTTAAGAACCTTGCAGCAGCAGGAAGTTGGCCACTAGTCCTCTGATTTACCTCTGACTGATTAGTGTTATGTCTTGTGTCTGGGTTGACTGTATAGTTTTGCTGGAAGTTTAGACATTGGATTTGTATAGGATGGGCTGGATAAGGATAATCCTGCCTTAGGCAGAGGGTTGGACTGGATGACCTGTAAGGTGGATAGAACTATATGGTAGAAAGCTGGCTGGATTGTTGGGCTCAGAGGGTAGTAATCAATGGCTGGATGTCCAGTTGGGAGCTGGTATCAAGTGAAATGCCCCAGGACATTCTTGGGGCCAGTTTTGTTCAATATTTTCATTAACAAGCTGGAAGATGGCATAGAGTGCACCCTCAGCAAGTTTGCAGATAACACCAAGCTGGGGGGAGTAGTAGATATGCTGGAGGGTAGGGCTAGGATTCAGAGTGACTTAGACAAATTGGAGGATTGGACTAACAAAAATCTCCCGAGGTTCAACAATGACAGGTGTCAGGTCCTGCACTTAGGACAAAACAATCTCGTGCAGCCATACAGGCTGGGGACTGACTGGCTGGCCAGCAACTCTGCAGAAAAGGACCTGAGGGTTACAGTGAACAATATGCTGAATATGAGCAGCAGTGTGCCGTTGTTGCCAAGAAGGCTAATGGCCTACTGGGTTGCATTGGTAAGTGTGTTGCCAGTAGATCAAGGGAAGTGATTATTCTCCTTTATTCAGTACTGGTGAGGCCACATCTGGAGTACTGTTTTCAGTTTTGGGCCCCCCACTACAGAAAGGATGTGGACAAATTGGACAGAGTCAAGCGGAGGGCAACAAAAATGGTGGGGGGGCTGGGGGACATGACTTATGAGGAGAGGCTGAGGGAACTGGGCTTATTTTGTCTAGAAAAAATAAGACCAGGGGAGGGGGTGTTTAATAGCAGCATTCAACTACCTGATAGGTGGTTAAAAAATAATAGCAGTAAGCTGTTCTTAGTGGTGGCAGATGACAGAACAAGGAGCAATGGTTTCAAGATGCAGCAAGGGAAGTTTAGGTTAGATATCAGAAAGAACTTTCTCACCAGGAGGGTAGTAAAACGCTGAAACAGGTTACCCAGAGAGGCTGTGGACTCTCCATCTTTGGAGGTTTTTAAGACCTGACTAGACAAACAGTTGTCTGGGATGATCTAGTTGGGGGTGGTCCTGCTTTGAGCCGGAGGTTGGACTAGATGATTTCTTTAAGTCCCTTCTAACCCTAATTTTCTATGATTCTGTGACCTCTAGAGATCCCTTCCAGCCCTACTTCTCTATGATTCTATGATAATGACTTCTGAAATGTTGTCTTGCTAGCTGCCAATGGTTCAATGAGCTTTTCTGGCGATTAGGAATAGGTAGAGCGAAGGTATTCTGGCTAGGCCCTTTCCCTTTTATCCACACTCCATACTTGACGGGATAGAGAAAGGAGGATTGTAGAGATGGGGCTATCTCTCTCAGGGGCACTCATTTATATCAGCTAACTAGTAAGGACTTTTTTACCTGCTTTTTCATACTGGCCTCTTGCAAAGCAGACTGTAAATTAGAATTGTATGTAGTGCTCACCTCTGCAAAAGTAACCCGCATCTAACATGAATAAAATGATTTGGACCTTCTCAAGATCCTTACTGCAGTGCTGGCCACTTGCATCTTTAGTTGAGGAGAAATGTGTGGAAGAAAATGTGAAGATCAGTAGTTTACACGCCATGAGATTTATATAATTTCTTTCAGGCAAGCTTGATTAGAATGAAACACAGCATTTTGATTTTGCAGATCTGTGGTCATATAAAGGGAACTTAGGATACTGCATGGTGAACTTTCTGAGCTGTAGTTAAAGTGTGTGATGTTTCTTTGACATTGAAGAAAAGTTACCGATGTAAACATCTTTTTTTATGTTTAGTATGGGGTCTTGATTTTGATAGATACTGAGAGATTCTAGGTAGACTATTCAATTTGCTATGCTGGTGCAGTTTCTCCGGGATTAGATTGCCATAGTTGTGATATATTTCACCTCAGTATGATTTTTGAAGTTTAAATTCAGTTTTATGAGTACCTCCAAGGACTTCCAAGGTCACTAAAATCCCAGGTAGTAAACTGTTCCAATTCTTCTCCCTAAAGGAGATCCCAGCAGAAAACATTGAAGATGACTCTTTCTTACAAAATACAAAAGGGAAAATCTAACTTGCCTATTATAGTAAATAAAGTCCTGAGTAGTATTTTCCCTGGTTGATGCTTTTATCATATGTGTAACTTCTGACAAAATGCATTTCCTCAAATTTATCCTCTGAATAGATAGGAGATATGGTAGATTTCTGGATGAGAGAAAATTGCCAGTACTGACACTTGCTTTACTGTGGAGTGATGGCAGTCTCTCTATTGTTATGGCTCTGTAACTAGTTTTTCTTTATAAGACCAGATTTAATTCTTACCCTTCCCCCTCAAGCTTTATCTGAAATTAAGTTTTATGGTCTAATTTTCTTATGTATGCTGTCTTTTTGGAAGAAAATTTATGGGAAATATCTTTTTAGGGGGGAGATGCCAGGTTTATTAAGTAAAAGATTTGAATATATGCAAGTTTAAGGATATATAAGGTGCAGGAGAGAAGGGGTGATATTGTACTAGAAACATGGGACAAAAAGTTAGATCAGATTTTGTCTGGCTGTGCCACAGGTCTGTTGTAATTCAGTTGTCATGTTATTTATGCCAGATATTGCAGAGGTGCTGTAACTCCCATTGAAGTAAGTGACAGTTGCAGATTCTCGGCTTTTTTTGAAAATGAGATTTTAATCTTTTACATCAGTTGAAGCACCCAAACAACCTGAATTTTGTTCTATACTGACACAGTGTAATAATCTTGTGTAAAATCTATGCAATGTTTAAAAAGTATACACAATCAAGCCAAACGTGATCCTGATTTACAAACAAAAGGCACTGTAGCTCTCCATTGTTGTATTTTTGTCTCAGTTTTTAATTTTAAATTCCAAGCCAGGTTTCATAAAATAAAATGATCCATTTTTTAAAACTGAACTCCCAGGTTTCAGTGAAGTCTGACAAAGGGCTTTCAGAAGTTTTCAGCTTGCATGCTTTTCTATATGCGTTATTTTTGAGAGTATAGAGGATTTGAATCCCTACCCCTATTAAGTCTTATTGACTGCTGCATCTCAGGGGAAATTTCAAACAAAAGAGAGTTACATCTTTATACTGATATGCCCCTATCACTATAATTTCAGAGCATATGACATCCATAGCACCTAAGGAGGGCTGTGGTTGTTGAAGTCTCCAAAATTTTGACAGTAAAGAGTTTGCTAATTCTTTTTCAGAAAAACTGAAAGGCCACGTCCATATGAGCATGGACATTTGTTCCTTGGGGACGAGTAGCAGTGGTGCACCTCGCGCTGCAGCTGCTTGTCCCTGGGGAATGCCTGTGCCATTCGTGCTTTGGCACATGGCAAGTTACCCCAGGGGCAGTAGGGAAGGCTGGGGTCAGTACTGGACTGGTCCCAGCAGCCTTACCTGAGGTCCTGCAGGGGCGGCAGCAGCAGTAATCCTCCTGGGCGGAGTCTGGCTGGCAGCTGCAGCATGGCTTCAGGCAGCCTGGCTTCTCTTTTCAGTCGCGTACACTACCTGTGTGTGCACTGTTCCACCTTTTTTTTCTGCAGGATATCCAGGGGTCAGAAAAGCCTGTGGGGGAAAAAAGTGGAGTGGCACATGCATGGGTAACACTCCCTTGCAGCGCAGAGAACACGTGACTGCATGGTATGTGGCGCTACAGACAACTTTGCAGCACCACATACCACATGGGCATGCTTATATGGACATGCCCAAAGTGTCCCAGATGATGAATCTTGCCTCACGCAAGTCTTTCCATTTACTTCAGTAGGCTCAGATTTCACCCGCTGTATATTTAATCTTGACATTCCAAACCATATTTGAAATACTTCATTAAGTATAACAAACAAGAGGAAGCACTTTTTAAATACAGGGCATGTTAACTTGTGGAACTCATTGCCACAGGAGATTATAGAAGCAGATCATATAACCAGGTTCAAGAAGGCATTATACAAATTAATGGAGGGCTGGTCCATTAATAATTATTAAATGGAAGAGTCAAGGATGTATCCCATGATATCCTTAAATCAATGATGGTATATAATGGGGGGAGTGGTTGGGGAAGCATGGCGGATCACTAGACACATGCCCTGTTCATAGATTCATAGATGTTAGGGTTGGAAGGGACCTCAGTAGGGCATCGAGTCTGACCTCCTGCCCTGGGCAGGAAAAAGTGCTGGGGTCAGATGACCCCAGCTAGGTTCTTATCCAGTCTCCTCTTGAAGACCCCCAGGATAGGGGAGAGCACCACCTCCCTTGGAAGCTCATTCCAGATTCTTACTGTGAAGAAGTTCTTTCTAATGTCCAACCTAAATCTGCTCTCTGTCAATTTGTGGCCATTGTTCCTAGTTCCAGGGGGTGCCCTTGTAAATAGAGCATCTCCTATTCCCTGCTGCCCTCCACTGATGAATTCATTGGTAGCGACAAGATCACCTCTCAGCCTTCTCCTGTGAAAACTGAAGAGATCTAGGTCCCTCAGTCTCTCCTTTTAGGGCCTTGCCTGCAGGCCTCTGACTGTATGAGTGGCCCTCCTCTGAACCCTCTCGAGGTTGTCCACATTCCTCTTAAAGTGTGGCACCCAAAACCAGATGCAGTACTCCAACTGTGGCCTGACCAATGCCACATAAGGGAAAGTATCACCTCCTTGGACCTGTTTGTCATGCACCTGCTAATGCATGATAAACTGCAGTTAGCTTTACTGATCACTTTGTCACATTGACGACTCGTGTTCATCTTGGAGTCAACGGTGACTCCAAGATCCCTTTCCACTGCTGTGCTGCTGAGAAGGTCCTCCCCCAGACTGTAAGTATTATGGTAGTTCTTTTTGCCTAGGTGCAGCACTTTGCACTTGTCTTTGCTGGACTGCATCCTATTTTGTTCTGCCCATTTTTCCAACCTGTCCAGATCTGCCTGGATCTGTTCCCTACCCTCTGATGTGTTAACTTTACCTTATAATTTGGTATTGTCTGCAAACTGGGACAGGGTGCTCTCTATGCCCTCATCCAAGTCACTGATGAAGACATTGAATAGTACCGGTCCAAGGACCAAGCCTTGCAGGACTCCACTGCCCACATCTTTCCAGGTTGATATTGACCCATCCACTACCACTCTCTGGATGTGACCTCCAAGCCAATTTGCCACCCACCTGACCATGTAATCATCTACATCACAGCCTGTCAGTTTATTTACGATAATGGAGTGTGATACCGTATTACAGGCCTTCTTAAAGTCTAGGTAGATGACGTCTACCTCGACTCCTGAGTCTGAGCATTTTGTGACCTGTTCACATATTCTTTCTCTAAAGCGTCTGCTTCTGCCATTGTCAAAGTTAAGATACTGAGCTAGATGGACTCACTCTGGCCCAGTAGGCACTGAAATATGAAAACAATAATCATGTAAAAAATGGAATCCTGGGGCTTCATGTTTATTTTTTCTCAGTGACTCAGTATGAAATTTATTCAGTTTGCAAGTAAGTGAAAGTTTTCTAAATACCAACCCTATAAATCTAACTTAGGGTCTGAAAACTGTGCTGGGTTCTTTCTCAATCTGATAGTAGAAACTTATTTTAGTTCATGAAGTAGGAAATATGGGTCTGCATATACAGTTAAAAAAATCTTCTATTTTAAAATACCGTTTTTCTAATTTTTTTTGTCTGTTACTATCCTTTGGTATTTTCCAGAGACATCCATCAGGAGTTGCATAGTTCAGATTCCTTAAAAACAAAGCAGTTATAAATGTCAGCATTGGATTTTCACTTTAAATCTGCATGTTTTTATCTTGGTATTTCAAACCTACAATAAATATATCCAGATAAGAATGGAGCAGGTCCTCATCTTTTGGAAGTTGAGACCATGACTCTGTTTTAAACCATCAGAGGGTTTGGTTCAAACTGCTTGGGGAGGGTGGCAGGGGGGTTAGTAGCAGAAACATTCATTTGCTGCCTGACCATGGAGAGTGGTTTTCTCTAGCCATTTGTAGAGTCTGTCATTTAATCAAATTAAATTTAGAATTTGATCTCTGGTCATCTTTCAGTTTTACTGGGAGTAGGCTAATAAGCTGGAGATTCACCAGTGTCACAGTAGGCTATCTGTACCTATATTTCCTTGGTGAAGATAGCAAGACCAGTGTAATTACTAGTGAACGATCTGTGTCAGCAGCTTTATTGAGTAAAACCAAATCTGAGAATTTTTATGCATATGATTTTCTCTTATACCTTCTGTGAATTGTTTTGTTTCTCACCTTCTGAAACTGTATTTCCCCTAGCTATCTTAGCTCCATTGCTAAATTATCTTGTTTTGAAACAGTACAGATGGGTGCAATAGATATTGCCTCTTGTGAATTGGAAATGACAGATTATCAAAATGAAGACTAAAAATTAACTCATTTGAATCATGGATCTGAAGTTTACCACTGCCATTGATGCACTTAGCATTAGCAACTTGTGTCTGGTGATCTTAAGCATCGGGTGCAAGTTAGTTAAATTATACAATCTGGCTTCTCAGTAAAAAAAAATATTATAAAACCAATTCTGTAGGGTGTGATTCCTACACCATTATTCAGAAGAATGGAATGAGGTTATCCAAAGATTTAAAATGCTGCTGAAATAAAAACTCAGTGGTATTCTTTACTGACATTAGAACTTTAACCATGATGTCATTTTTACTGACCAAACAGGACAGGCTTGATTTTTATTTTCATTTTTATTAAAACCTACTTACACTGGTCTGGCAGTATAAAATAGACTTAAACTAGATGTAAATTATGTTTATGCTAAATTAAAATTTCTTTCACTGACTGGTGAAATGGGGTGTTTTGTCTTTCAGGGACTCATCTGATGTAATTATACATTCGGCTGATGCATTTGCACCCGTGGCCTATCTTCGTTTTCTAAAATTACACTTAGAGAATAAGGCAAGTACACCTTTCCAAATATCAGGTTCTTTTTCATAGATGCAAAACATATGTACGCTTTTCTTATGTCACTTTTTCTCATTTTAGAATTAATCTAGTTTTTCTGCAATATTCTTTTTTTGTTTTCAGTAAAACCTGAATATAGTTTAGCTAATTTTCCAAAGTTGCCATCAGAAAGACCTGAAACAGGTGCTCACTTGTGCCAAGTGAATTAATGGGGTTAGAATTTTTGTAGCATTTCTCATCTTGAAACTTCCAGGTGCTTAGCAGACAATGCTTAGCCAAGTACACCCTAACCACTGAAGTGCAGCCACCTATCCTGTGGAACACAACTGATGCTCTTATATTTGTGCACCCTACAAAGCATTATTAACTCACTGTGAGGTGACTTTTCTTGTTAATATTTTTGATGAAAAGTCATTGTAAATAAGAGTTTTCTTTGACCAGTGTGTTTTTATTGTATATACCAGAACGTCATTTCACATGTGGACTCTGGCACAAGATGGTATTAGTTCTAATTTTGAGAAGCAAAGAATCTTTTCATTAACCTTCACACCATCTACTTTTATTTTAGTCAACTGCACAGTAAACTGAATTTCTTGCAAAAGGAAATATTTTCTCAGTTTAGATTAGACAGTAGCAGTGCTATGATACGATAGCTGATACACACAGAAAACTTAAGATAATATTATCAATAATTCAAAGGGATTCAGTTTTTCACGATATGATTCCATAGAAAGTGCGCATTACAGCAATAAGACTATAAACAGATATTATATTTGTCATGGGACCAATTTATGCTGCAACTTTTCCCAGAGCAGAGATGTGGCGGGATTGCACATGCCACATCTTCCAGTCAGGTTTAGAGTGGCTGAATGCATCACCACTCTTCCGCCAGCAGGTGGCAAGAGAAAACACACATGCATCCCTTGCTCTGGTCATGTGTTTTTAGGTTCCCCTGACCCTTCCAGTGCCAAACAGAGCCCCCGTTGGTTGTTCAAATTGATGGTGGTAACACTTTTGTGGAAGGGAATTTGATGTGATTAACTGGCTTGTGCCCCTCACTACTTACATGCATCTCCACTGCATTTATGCTGACTCCAGTGACCATGACCCAGAGCTTCCACCACTGTGAGCTGCTTTGGATTTGTATGTGGTTTTCACCTTGCTGGCCCAGCATTGTGAACTCATGTGTAACACTGAACAGAAAAAATAATGTAATCAGGCTCTGATGACCACCTTGCCTACTTCCATTCATTCTAGGTACAAGGGAGAAGTACTTGTGAGGGAGAGGTTTGTGTGTAGTTGCTGCCCAGCAATGGCTACCTCCAGCTCCTAATACATGGCAGCGGCTGCTGTCCTGAAGATTTTTTGGCCACAGATCAGTACATTGTGGCCAGCAGATATGGGAGTGGCTTCAAACCATGTAGCAGTTTTTCTAGGCCAGGGAGATGATCAGTGACTGGTGGGGACAGATTATAATGGCTGCCTGGGACAACAAGCAGTAGCTCACAAACTTCTGCATGTTCAGGGGCTACTTTATAGAGATTGATGCCAAGCTTGCCCTACACATACAGCAGCAGGCAATGACAATACGGTCTCCCTTATCCATGAAGAAGCGTGTTGCTACATGGAGGCTCACAACCCCAAATTGCTTCCAGTCTGTGGAAAGCTATTTTGGGGTTGGCAAGTCAATGGTGCAAGGAGGTGTGTGTGGTGATCCAATGGGAGATGGCCTTGCATATCATAAACCTTGCCTACCCACAGGAGGTCCTAGATGCAGTTGCCAACCTGAGGTTCTCTAACGGCCTTGGGGCTGTTCATGGTACACCTTTCTCCCATGTACTGTGGCCATGACTTCATCAACCAGAAGAGCTACTTCTCAATTGTGCTTCAGGCAGTTATGGACCACTGTGGCTGTTTCCCGCACGTAAATATCAGCTGATTGGGCATGGTGCATGCCAGCATATTTAGGTGCTCTGTTCTCCCTGATCTGCTGGAGCAGAGGTATTTTGCCCCTGGCCTGCCTGACATC